GGGAGGGTGGGAGGGAGGGAGATCCAAGAGGGAAGAGATATGGGAACATATGTATATGTATAACTGATTCACTTTGTTATAAAGCAGAAACTAACACACCATTGTAAAGCAATTATACTCCAATAAAGATGTTTAAAAAAATAACAATAAAGCCAGTGAACAAAGGCTACTGGTAGAACACCAGATTAATCACACCCCATGAGCACCTGGGACACCAGAGACCACCCTTATAATGATGAGAGAATCAAGGTCTCCACAGCTCCCAAAGCACCTTTTATCCAGGCTTCAGGAATGCCATGAGGCAATTCAAAGCAAGGTCATATTCAGCATTTCCCAGGCCCTCTGGTCTTTCATGATGGACAGTCACAGGTACTGGGTCACCTGAGAGCTAAGGGTGCCTTCGAATCTCCTCAGCTGTTGAAATCATTTTCTTCCCCCAGCAGCCCTACAGATAGGGATGGTGATTAAATTAGTGCTTTTAAATGAAAGCCCAGACCCCACAGGGCAGAGGCCTTGTCAGCTTCAGAAGGTGACTGGAAACAGCATGAGCTGCTGCCGAACAGGAGCCCTGTGAGCGGGCAAATGAAGGCGCCCGGGGGTGGGAGGGGAGGAGAGATGGGTGCTCATGGTGCTCACAGGCGGGCCGGCAGGACAGGCTGCCCGGCAGGGCACCTACGGGTGGGCCTGCTGCTGAACTTTCCCTGGACCCTGCAATTCAAGGGCCACAACTGAACAGTGCAGCACGGTCACAGACTCTTACAAATGTAAATCAGACCATGCGTGGCCCCTGTTTAAACACCCTTAATGTGTTCCAATGCCCTTCAGAAAGAACCCTGTATCTCTGTTGTTGCCTACCAGGCCCCTCAGTCACCAGGCCCAGTACCCCTCACCTTAGCACGTGCTCCTCTCACCAGCTGCAGTCCTGTGCTGGACACATCTGCCACTCCCTTTGCCTGGAACATTCTTCTCAACTGACAACCTCCTTCAGGCTTCGGGTCAGTCCCACCTTCCCATCCAAATGAGATCCCCTCCCTGTAATTCTCTCTCTCTCTCTCTCTCCCCCCTGTTCTTTGTCTCCACAATATTTATAACAATTCGTAATTATATATTTATTAGTTTAATGTGTGTCTCACATCTAAGACTATAAGTTCTCTAAGAGCAGGGACTATGTCTGTTATGTTCCCCAATGTATTCCCAGCACCTGACATAATGACTAGCACATGGTGAGCATTCCACAGCATTTTAGGAAGGAAGAAAGGAAAGAAGGAAGCGAGGGAGGAACACTGTATTAGACAGGGCCTTGGGGGAACGAGGCCGACTGCCCTGTAGTCTCAGCGCTGCCTCTGCACTTGCCCTTTCTCCTCGCTCCCTCATCCCCTTTTCTGTGATCTCTGCTATTTATTCTTCTGCATTTTTCAGTATTCTGTCTAAATCTGGGTTCCCCAACAACAGACCCACCACTTTCTACAATCCCTTCTGTTTTCTATTACTACTCTTTAAGAGGCTTTGTCCAGCAAACACCAAGCCTGAAAACCCCGCTTCCCCAACTTGACAATGTGGTAGTGAAGATGCTTCCTGTCCTGTCTTGCTGACTGTGAATTCCTACAGGAAAGGAGCCAGCATCTAACGTACAAAGCTAACTTACCTTAGGGTACTCAAAGCACCTGTCCACAGTATGGCCCACACAGCAAACTCTACTGCTAGTTTCTTCTCAAGCTTAAATCCCGTTGAGTATAAACTCCTCTGCAAGGTTTCTGCTTGTTCTCATAGGTAAGTTAATGACTAACTTTTGCTATACCACCCACTTCTTGGAGCCAGTGGTCTAAAGGCAAATGCGTGAAAGTCAGGTTTCTTAGCCATGAGCTTCCAGAATGCTTTTGCTTAGTCTGGCTCTGCCAAGTGGGGTTTCTACAAAGTACAAATTGACACAGTGGCTCACGAATGGGTGATAGTTCTAGCAACCTGCACTGTGTCTGGCGTAGAGCAGATGCTCAATAACGTTGGCTGAGTGAATGAAGCAGGCCCCCATCGCTCAGGCCTGACTCAGTGCGCCAGTCTGTACTCTCCTGGACGAATAAATGGTGAATGGAGGGAGAATGCAGGAAGCCATGTTGACAACAGTGGACAAAGGGTGATCCCATCTTTTCTAGGTAATTGTTTTACACGCTAAACAGAAACAGATTCTAGTTATGGCTAGTCAAAAGTCTTTACTGGGGCTTCCCTGGTGGCGCAGTGGTTGAGAGTCCGCCTGCCGATGCAGGGGACACGGGTTCGTGCCCCAGTCCGGGAAGATCCCACATGCCGCGGAGCGGCTGGGACCGTGAGCCATGGCCACTAAGCCTGCGTGTCCTGAGCCTGTGCTCTGCAACGGGAGAGGCCACAACAA